TTAAATAATATTAAAAAAATATATTAACTACACTCTTAATTCTGCATTCCACAAGTTAGATAAATCTTTTTTTTTTTATATTTATTATAACAAGTTCTTAGTTATTGCGGACAATGGGCTTCCAGTTTCACCGTGAAACGAAAACGCTAAAACCGAACTCAGGGTACTGAGATGGACCATAAAGGCATAAACCCAAATCAAATCCAATTACGTTAATCATTAGGCCCAAAAAAGTTTTGTCTGTGAATGGTGATGTCCAGTTGGCAGTTATTTGGTGCTTGGACCTAGTTATGATATGTGATGGGCACAACAAAAACCCAAACTTGTTTCTCCAACTCCAGGAGTCCAAAGTTTCTTTCTTCTTCTTCTTTTCATTTTTTTTTCTTTTTTTTTTTCTTTTGAATAGGCCCAAGACTGTAACAAGAAAGTCATTATTAAGGGGAAGTAAAAAGAAAAAAAATGTTTATATTTTTCAAGTAAATCTGAAAAATGTGACACAATAAGACACCAATGTTCTCAAATGGTCTGTTTAGTTAGGTGTTAGGATTTACATTTTTAGGGATTGCATAAGAATTTGGGGTTGCCATGCATTTTATTGATTTTTTATATATATTATGTAAGATCGCAAAGTGATAAATTCAAGGTTGGATACAAATATTTATATCATCTTTTTTTCTTTTTTTTTTTCTGTTGAAATCTTTTTGTATGAGTTGTTCAAGAGATTATTATGATTGCAATTCCTATTTACCTATCAAAGAAGCAAAGAGATGTTTTGTTTGCAAAAATTTGTTGAGTTACTCGAGTCAAAATGGAGAATGATACGATTCTTTTTATTTTTTATTTTATAATGAGAGTGTTTTTTAAATTAGTTTTTCATGGTTTTTAAGTTTAATCTTTTTTTGAATAATTTTAAATACCTATCTCTTATATTAGTTTGATATATTTAATTAAATTAATTTCTTTATGTGTTAGTTTCAAAATTTAAATTTAAACTTAACTTTTGAGATGATATACTTATTTTATAAGTATATAATATTATGTAATATTATAAACTTATAATCATAATATCTAATGAAAAAAGTACATAATAACTTGAAATTCCCACCTTAAAATATATCATTTTATTTAATTAAAACATAATGTAAAATTTTAAAAACTACCTTATTAAATGTTAATGTTTAGACTTAAAAACTGATTATATAAGGATATATAATTAATTTCTAAATCTAGATATCAATATTTAATAGGGTGAGATTTCAATTTTCAGATATAAATTAAAACTCTAATTATTATTTGAATTGAAATTAATATGCACTAATCTCATATCTTATCATATAATATTTTTTATTCAAATATATATGTATTTGTAATATAATACGTATTTTCTCATTTAATGCTAAACTTACCTTCCACATAACATTATTATAACTAGGCAAGGGTGAGCCACCTTCCTACGCTTTTCCTAGCTTGCTGTCTGTTTCTTGCTTTCTATTCCTAATTATATATGTGAGAAAGTATGGAATATGTTGGGATTTTTTCCTTTATGACATTTTTACAAATTAATAAAAGAGTCTCAAATTACTCTAATTATGATTTAAATAATATTTTTTAATATATCTGATAATGATAGATTATATCAAAAGAAATAATCTTTTTTTTTTTAAGTTTTTCTTCGCTCTACTCAAGATTCTAACTTAAAATTTTTAATTTAAAATCTCAAATTTTTAATCATTAAATTACCCCCTTTGAAGTTAATTATAGTCTAAATAATTGGACTACAGTGTTGGTGGATTCTTTACTTTATACCGGCATTGTGGAAAACTCAATATCACACTCACATGTAAAATTCAATATACATAAAATATGAAAACAAGTTAAGAACCGGTCGCCTTAACAAATAACCACTTGTTCAGTGTCAGTAAATTAACCGGTTGTCCCACATTGCAAATTATCCGGAAGTTGCCGCCGAATTTGAAGCCCAGCACTTACTACCACAGCCACCACTATTAATTAAATGGTTAAACCTGCAATTTAGCCCCTCAACTATTGTATAAGCTCTTGATTTGGTTTTCAAATTAAAAAAATTCTTGGCTTAGTTTCTAAAGTTTTCAAATTTGATTTTAAGTTGGTTCTTCTATTAATAAATAATTAACGAATTCATTATTTAATCGTAAAAAATTATTATTTAATAATTATGTATCACATTAATGACAAGATGTCAATTATTTTTTTATGAAAAGATCCATTTATGATTAAATTTAGAAACTTTAAAAATTAACTTAAAAATTTTTCATGTTTAGAAACCAAATTAAAGGTTCATATAATAATTGAGAAATTAAATTGAAAGTTTAATCTTAATTAATTCAATAAATAAAAAGAAAGAGACGATGCAAAACGCAATTGCAACATGCATCAGTAGTCATATCAAAACACCAATAATAACAATTAGTAATTAATTAGTTAGGTTAAATATTAATTTTAATTCCTCCATTTTAAAATTTTATACATTTTCATCTTTTAATTATTTGAAATACTTTTTAATTCCTTAATTCTAAAAAAAAATATATTTTTTATTCCTTTATTTGTTAATATGTTAAATCTATTCATATATATATATATATTTAGTCTCTAACTTTATAAAAATATTTAGTAATTAAAAATATATATATTTAAACAGATTTAGATTTAATTTGATAATACTGATCTATAATTGCAATTGTAATTTTTTTTTATCTTTTAACACCTTAAAAATATATAAA